GGTCTCAAGCATTCTGATGGGGGCCATAACAGATACGATGCACTGCCTTTCTTTCAAGGCTCCACTCATTCCTCCACCCTTCCCTCCTCTATCTTGGGTGAATCTCATGGAGGAGAACTCAATGACCGTTAGGAAAGCAAACAAATGTTCTGAAAACAAAATTCTACTAGTATATCGTCAGCTTTAGATTTTTAATATAAACATTTTGGTAATATTATGATTATACTACAGGATTTATATAGCGCCAACAGTTTGCTCAGCACTTTAATACCCAGAATGCGCATCCACAGTTTTTCTTTCACACTCCACATTTGTGTTTTAATTTCCTGAAGCGAGGAGCAATCTTTGCAGTTGGTCATACCATTTTTCGTGTATTGTTGTTCTGCAGTTTCAGATGTTTTTGTACTTTGAACAATACAGTCTTTCCAGTACTTTCATGCACGCTTGACAAAACAATAACATGCGGAGCTAGAAGGAGCAGATGTTATCTAGTGGGCTGTAAACCAAAAACTAAAAAACAGCTTTAAATAATCTCAGGAGACTCTGCATGATCAGACAACGAAACCACAACTTTCTGCCTGCTGTTCTCCATTCCATGCATTCCAAGAAATGGCCTTAAAGCCGTATTAAACCCCTCAGCATTTTATAGCCTAACACATTGAGAACAATAAAATAAACATCCCAAGTAAACTATTTTGTAAAATTCTTACCCCAGCTCTTTCAGCTTAGAACCTTCAGTGCTGCTGGATCCTGCTCTCCTGGACTTCCAGTCTTAACAGGAAAGAGTTAAAGGAGAAGTAGGGCCAAAACTCTTTCGGGCCCTGGTTCTCCTATGGATTACATGAGTGCACTAGTTCTGCACTCCTGTGACCTGGTTTCAGCTGACAGCGGGCTAAAGCCTGCTGTCAGCTGACGTCACAAAGCCAGTCTAGACTCTGGAAAGATCCTGACTTTATGAGTGTCCTCATTGGTCAGATCCTGTGTGCTTTCTGTCCCATAAACAGTGGTCACCAGGACAGAAAGTGAGGGAAAGTCTCCACAATGGGCACAATGACAGCAATAAAAACTTAATGAAGGCTTAAAGTGGTTGTAAACAGGCCCGGAACTAGGGGTGTGCTGGGGTGGGCTGTGCCCCCCCAGATTTTAGTTGTGCTCCCCCTAGACTTCTGAGAGTCCATTCACAAATCCTTGAGACCTGATGGGGACAGTTGATGAAAGGGGGCACTCTGATGAGGCAATTGATGCAAGGGGACACTCTGGTGAGGACACCTGATGAAAGGAGGATCTCCGAGGAGAACTCCTGATAGAAGGAGGATCTCCGAGGAGAACTCCTGATAGAAGGAGGATCTCCGAGGAGAACTCCTAATAGAAGGAGGATCTCCGAGGAGAACTCCTGATAGAAGGAGGATCTCCGAGGATAACTCCGGATAGAAGGAGGATCTCCGAGGAGAACTCCTGATAGAAGGAGGATCTCCGAGGAGAACTCATGATAGAAGGAGGATCTCCGAGGAGAACTCCTGATAGAAGGAGGACCTCCGAAGAGAACTGCTGATAGAAGGAGAATCTCTGGAGGAGAACTCTCGATAGAAGGAGAATCTCCAAGGAAAACTTCTGATAGAAGGAGGATCTCTGAGAAAAACTCCCAATAGAAGGAGGACCTCTGAAGAGATCTCCTGATAGAAGGAGGATCTCTGAGAAGAACTCCAGATAGAAGGAGGAACTCTGAGAAGAACTCCTGATAGAAGGAGAGACTTTGTTTGGGACACTTGATATAAGGGGCACAAGTTCTGTTTAATTACCCTAAAGTAATGACACCATTCCCAGTTCACTCCTGCACCACCTCTACACTACCTGTCAGATGTTACTTCCTGGTTATGACTCCGTGGTACAGATGTGTGCCGAGTGAACAGGGAATAGTGGTTCCATGCATTCCTGTCACACTACTGACATTACGCCCCTTGACTTTTTTTTTACTGCACCCTTAGATCAGATACAGCCCTGATTGTAAACCCTTATATATCCAGTGAGGTGACAGGTCTCAAATGATACACAAAAATGAAACAAATCCTCCTACGTAAGTTGCACCTGTTTATTTATTTATATGTACTTATATAGCACTATCAATTTACGCAGCACTTTACATATATATTGTACATTCACATCAGTCCCTAACCCTCAATGAGTATACAATCTAAGGTCCCTAACTCACATTCATACATATACATACTAGGGCCAATTTAGACAGGAGCCAATTAATCTACCAAAATGTCTTTGGAGTGTGGGAGGAAACCGGAGCACCAGGAGGAAACCCACAGAGACACAGGGAGAACATTCAAACCTCAGGCAGGTGGTGCCGTAGTTGGGATTCGAACCAACAACCCTAGTGCTGCTACGCAGAAGTGCTAACCACTAAGCCCCTGTGCTGCCCACAGGGAAAAGTGTAGAAATTATCCACTTGTGGACTGTCAGTGGTTATACTGGGATGATGCCTGCAGCTTCAGGAATCATCCCGGTATTGTTTTATGCAGCTGGTGATCGGCTGTCTTGTAAAAGTAATCCTAGCAGCTAATTAGCCTCTGGATTGCTTTTACAAGCAGTGGGAGGGGACATTCCCTCTCCCCCCCTTCCCCGCAACTCTCTCAGGCTCTCTGTGCGCAATATTAACCACTTGCCCTCCAGAGGATTTACCCCCCTTCCTGACCAGACCATTTTTTGCATTATGGCGCTGCGTTACTTTAACTGACAATTGCACGGTCATGCAACGCTGCACCCCAAGTTCTTCTTTCCCACAAATAGAGCTTTCTTTCTGTGGTATTTGATCACCTGTGCGGTTTTTACTTTTTGCGCAAAAAAAAAAGACGACAATTTTGAGGAAAAAAACAATATTTTGGACTTTTTGCTATTAAACAAGTCCAGAAAATTTTTTAAAAAATCTAAATTTCTTCATACATTTAGGCCAAAATGTATTCTGCTCCATATATTTGCTAAAAAAAATCCCAATACACGTAAATTAATTGTTTTATTTGAACGTTATAGCGTTTACAAATGGCGGTATAGATACTGGGAATTTTTTTTCTACAAGTAATTGCGGCGATCAGCGACTTTTAGCGGGACTGCGGCGGACATTCTGACATTCGGGGGAACTGACTTGGTGTCACTAACATCCCCAGTGACACCAATACTCTGATCAGTGCTAAAAAAAAAAAAAAGCACTGACACTGTACTAATGACACTGGGCAGAAAGGGGTTAATATGAGGAGCACTCAAAGGGTTAACTATATGTACGGAGTGTCTTACTAAGGGGCGGGGGGGGTGTTCTTCATTGTAAGCACACTGATCTGGATGGCTGTACTGTGCGCAGCCATCCCGAGCAGTGTGCCCGAGCTGACAGGGAGGAAGACTGTTTGTAAACAAAACAGTCTTCCACCCCATCGGAGATGCTCGGTAATCACCGGACCCCGGCGGGCAATTACCGTCCGGGGCCCGGTGATTGACAGCCGCGGCCACGAATGGCGGTGCGGGTAGGGCGCGCACCCCTACCCGGAAATGCAAAAATCGCGTATAAATACACGTAATTTTGCGCACCTGTGCTGCCCTGTAGCAGTATTTCTGCTATAGAGTGGTCGGGAAGCAGTTAAAGAGTGACATGTTTGGTATCTATTTACTTGGTGTAACATCATCTTTTATATTATAGCAAACATTTAGGTATTATATTGTGTTTTTGTGCATTAAAATTCAAGAGTGTATTTTTTTCCCCAAAAAATTGCATTTGAAAAACATCTGCGCAAATACCGTGTGACATTGTAATGACCACCCTTTTATTCTCTAGATCAGGGGCGGACTGACCATTTGGAAACTCGGGCACTGCCCGAGGGCCCAGGGTCAGTAGGGGGCCCCATGAGATGCCCCTGGTACCTTTTTCATAGGCTTTTTTTAGTTTTGGCAAGGACACAGGGGCCCCATGATCCCCTATTGCCCGGGGGCCCCATGAGTTGTCAGTCCGCCCCTGCTCTAGATAGATATATATATATATACATACAGTATATATATATATACATACAGTATATATATATATATAATATATATATATATATATATATATATATATACACATACACATACACACACACATACAATGCTTGGAAGTTCTAAGTCATTTTCTAGCAAAAAAAATTACTGATTTTTACTTTTTAGAAAAAAGTGTCAGAAAAGGCCTGGTCTTAAATTGGTTTAGAGCTTACCTGAGCTGTCAGTAAAAAGGGGACAGAGACCTGAAATTACACTCTACAGAGCTCAGTGAGGAGAGCTCTAAGAGCTGATTGGAAAAAGAGACACACCCACCTTCACACAGCTCACAGGAACAGAGCTGAGGCTGTCAATCAGAGGCTGCATGCTGGAGCTCCCTCTCCTGTCACCATTTTTCTCTTGGTGTCAGGAAAACTTGTCAGAAGAAATTCATTCTGATAGCAGAGGAATGCATCAACAGACACTTAGTGCTCCGGATTGAGACAAGTACACACTATAGAGGGATATGCTTTGTTCATATATCATGTCTGAGATTTACAACCACTTTAATGCCATTGGTTCATACAAACATTTGCTGGAGCTCCCTCCCCTGTCACCATTTTTCTCTTGGTGTCAGGAATACTTGTCAGAAGAAATTCATTCTGATAGCAGAGGAATGCATCAACAGACACATAGTGCTCCGGATTGAGACAAGTACACACTATAGAGGGATATGCTTGGTTCATATATCATGTCTGAGATTTACAACCACTTTAATGCCATTGGTTCATACAAACATTTCGGAATAGCCTTCTACTCACCGCTGATTGTGAATGGGTGCACCATACATATGAGCCTATACTATCTTGGCTAAATTTTGCTTTGTCATTTCTTTTATTTTTCTCTCCCCACTCTAGCCCATAAAAAAAAAAAATGGCTGCAATTTACCGCCATTAAATGATATCAACTATCAGTGTGATGTGAGTGAAGCTCACCTTGGGGAAGATAGGTGAATGCTGTTAGGAAGTCTTCATACGTCTGCTCTGGGATGCCGACAAACCTATTAAGGACAGTACAGGCCATCTCCTCTTCTGTCACCGCAGGGCATTCGTCACAAGAACTCGGCATAGCGCCAACTCCAGGCCTAAACAAGAATAAAAAAAAAAGTTCATTTCTATAACAAATCGTATCTTCGCAAACATCAAGATTTGTGCAAACTGCAGCAAAAAAAAAAAAAAAAAGTAATAGCTGTTGTCATTAGCATTCTGTTAGGTTTGTCACCAATGAAGCATAGGAGATACGTCTTGTACAGGGGCGGACTGACCATTTGGAAAATTGGGCAGTGCCCGAGGGCCCGGGTCAGTAGGGGGCCCCATGAGACGCCCCTGGTACCTTTTTCATAGGCTTTTTTGAGTTTGGGCAAGGACACAGGGGCCCCATGATCCCCTACTGCCCGGGGGCCCCATGAGTTGTCAGTCTGCCCCTGGTCTTGTAACAAGAGATACAATGTAACATTTCTAGGGAACACAAATGTAACAAAACTTGCTAATACCCTCCTCAGCTCCTTCTGCTGGCCATAATGAGGTACTACTGCTCATGATGACATTTGTTCAGAACAGAAAATATCCGAAAGAACATTCCTTTTTTTCTCTATTTGCACAGAACGAAGGTATATGCAGATTTACTGCGTGAATGGCTATTTGAATCTTTTATACACAGACCCCTACGTGTCCTTTAGTTAGGGCTTATATCTACTTTAACCACTTCCAGTCCGGACACTTCCACCCCCTTCCTGTCCAGGACAATTTTCAGCTTTCAGCGCTATCACACTTTGAATGACAATTGTGCGGTCATGCAACACTGTAACCATATGAATTTTTTAGCATTTTTTGAGACAGATAACACTTTATTTTGGTGGTATTTATTCAGCACTGGGATTTTTTATTTTTTTTTTGCTACATAAATGAAAAAGTCCAAAAATTTAGAAAAAAGTGTTTTTCATAAAACATTTTTCAAATAAATTATCTTTCTTCATACATATTGGCCAAAATGTATTCAGCTATTTTGTTAGTAAAAAAAAAAAAAACAAATTAGTTTATTACCAAAAATTATAATTTTTCTTTTTACATTTTTATAACTTTTTTATATTATTATTTATGGTTTTTTTTTTTTAACATACTGTCACCCTAGCAGTACAGTGTCACCATAGTGACACTGTACTACTTGTGGGGGGTGATGAAGATTTTTTTTTTTTTTTACACTGATTGCTTTTACAACCTTTATGGGTGTAAAAGCAATCATTTCTCTTTCTCTCTGGCTGCATTCCTGCAGCCATTGAGAAATACTCTGAGAGCTGTGATTGGTCACAGCTTGTCACATGGTACAAGGCTGTTGTGAATAGCCTTGTACCATGTGACCTCTGTGATCATTCACAGATTTCACAGGTAGTAAGCAATGATGTCAGAAGTGACATCTTGTTTACTACTCTTCATGTGATCACTGATTGGCCAATCAGTGATCACATGGTAGGGACCTCACACAGAGGTCCCGTACAGTGTTCGGTGTTCCTCTGTGTCTGGATCGCGGTGACGCGCGCTCCCTGGGAGTGCGTGCAGGCAGTGATTGCAGGGGCCATTTATAAACGGCCACCCGCTTCGGCAGTGCTCCCGTCTGGCTGTCTATATACATGGGCCGGACGGGAAGTGGTTAAGCATGTGATCTGGGGATCTATATCTATGTCCGATTAAATATCAGAAATATTGGACAGCTAGGATATCCCTGCTTCTTGTACATCAAGGTTTAAAGAGGTCCAACCCCAAAAATGTCATATATTGCAGCTTACCAATCATTAGATGTGGTCAGGACCGTGGATAAGGGGGTACAACCAATCCTCTTGTACGGGGCCAGGCCAGAAGGGGGGCCCAAGTAGCTGGGCGAATCAGATGTGGGCAGGAAGGGTGATCGGCACAGTGTGCATGCGAGGGTGGGGGCAATTACTGGAACCGATCCCCTGTATGGTTCTCTCTGCAGCAGCTGAGAGTCGGCTTCTTCTCCTCTCCTTCTCGCTGGTCTTCAGCTGCTGCATAAGGAGCCATACAGGGGATCAGTTCCAGTAATTGACACCCCCCCCCACCACACCCATCACCCTCCCGGTGCACCAGAGGTTTCCCACTTCAGGATGGAGAGTGGAGGAAGGTTGCAGTAAATATGTCACATTTACCAGCCCCTTCCTTTCCTGAATGAACACAATGAGTGATCGGTACCGATCACTCACTGTGTTCATTTATAACTAAAGCATAGTAAACTGTGTTCATTGGGGGGGAGTTTTCAGAAAAGGGGGGGGGGTGTATGGGGCCCCGTGGTTTCTAAACGGCAGCCCTGGATGTGGTAGCTGCATTCATCTTTTTTTTTAGGATTTTTTTATCCTCCTGGTGATCTGGCCAGTGACACACCTCCTGTGTTAGAGCACCCCCACTCTGGATGAAGGAGCACAGAGAACACAGCAGACAGCAGCATTGTCAGTCTGGGGGTAGGGGAGTGTTAGATGTACTAGCAGATTTAGATACACTAACAACTTGAAGCAAAACTCCAGCTAATACTTTATATGCAGTTATAGCAATATTTATTTTTTTTCATTTGGGATAAAGGTTTTACATAAATAAATAAAAGTTGACACCTGTCAGTGGTAAATGGTTTGTCTCAACACTCTAACTGATACATCTACAGGACAGCTTGTTCTTTTGAAAATTAACAGATTTATTGGCTGGATTACCAAATAAAAATAGAAGAAAGAAAGCCTAAAAAAAAACAACTAATGCAGCCATCACATCTAAGAATTGATAAGCTGTAATATAATATGTTTGCTTCACTCTCGCCCTCCTGAGGATTTACCCCCCTTCCTGACCAGGCCATTTTTTGGCAATACGGCGCTGCGTTACTTTAACTGACAATTGCACGGTCATGCAACGCTGCACCCAAATTAAATTTACGTCCTTTTTTCCAGCAAATAGAGCTTTCTTTTGGTGGTATTTGATCGCCTGTGCGGTTTTAATTCTTTTGCGCAATTAACAAAAAAACCAACCAATTTTGAAAAAAAAAAAAACAATATTTTTGACTTTTTGCTATTAAGCATATTCAGTAAAAAAAGTTTAAAAAATCAAATTTCGTCATAATTTTAGACCAAAATGTATTCTGCTCCATGTCTTTGCTAAAAAAAAAATCCCAATACGTGTAAATTAATTGGTTTATGTGAAAGTTATAGCGTCTACAAATGGCGGTACATATGCTGGAATTTTTTTCTATTTTTACTAGTAATGGAGGCGATCAGCGACTTATAGCGGGACAGCAGCGGGCATTCTGACACGGGGGGGAACTGACTTGGTGTCACTGACATCCCCAGTGACACCAATACAGTGATCAGTGCTAATAAAAATCAATGGCACTGTACTAATGGCACTGGCAGAAAGGGGTTAACGTGGGGTGATCAAAGGGTTAACTGTGTGCTTTACTATGCAAGCACACTGCTTTGTATGACGGTGATATGCAGAGCAACACAAAGCAGTGCGCAAGAGCTGACAGCGGAGAGATCTGTATTGTTTACATACAGGTCTCTCCCCCGTCAATAATACTCAGAGATCGCCGGGTGCCTGCAGGGAATCACTGGTTGGGAGCCGGTGATTGACAGCTGAGGCCGCAAATGGTGGTGCGGGTAGGGCGTGCGCGCCCCCTACCTGGAACTGCAAAATCACATATATACACGTGATTTTGCGCAATCGTGCCGCCCTGTAGCAGTATTTCTGTTACAGTTGATGTTTTACACTAACTGGGCAGCACAGTGGCTAAATGGTTAGCACTTCTGCCTGGCAGTACTAGCATTGTTGGTTCGAATCCCAGTCACGGCACCACCTGCCTGGAGTTTGCATGTTCTCCCTGTGCCTGCGTGGGTTTCCTCCAGGTACTCCGGTTTCCTCCCACGCTCCAAAGACATGCTGGTAGGTGAATTGGCTCCTGTCTAAATTGGCCCCTAGTATGTGTATGTATGAATGTGAGTTAGGGACCTTAGATTGTACACCCCTTGAGGGTTAGGGACTGATGTGCATGTACAATATATATGTAAAGCGCTGTGTAAATTGACTGCAATATATAAGTACCTGAAATAAATAATAAATAAATAATACACTAACAAAGGTTTACTTCCCTTATCCCAAAAACAAAAAAGTGTTTTCCTTCTGTCCAAGCATCCTCCAGCCATTGCAGGGTTTTACTGCCCCCATGGGCTTCGACACGCAGACCGCACTAACCGCAGATGTTTGGTGGTTATTATGTAAATTTTGGTGTTTTAAGGAAGGAAATGTGTGTTTTTATTTCTCTTGTTTTTCAAGTTTCGGTTCATGGCGGTTAACACAACATGTCTGTGGCTGCAGACACACAGGGCTCACTTTGATGTTGTTTGACTGCTGTAGCAAAAACAGCACCGAAGGTTCAAAATAAGCCTTGTCACCGTTTATAAGGTTCCAAATTTTCACTCATTAAAAGAAAAGAAAGACGGACACCTTCCTCATGATTGTCATTTTTTTTAACCACTTCAGCTTTGGAAGATTCTATCCCTTTCATGACCAGGCCATTTATTTTTTTTTGCTCTTCGGCACTGAGCTACTTTAAAGTGTTACTAAACCGACAACAGTAAAATCAGTCTGTAGATGCAGTAAAGCATGCTTGTTATACTCACTGTGGAACCTAAGGGGTTAATCCTCTGCATTGTGTACAAAGGCTGTTTGATCCTGGCTTCTCTAATCCCCCCCTTCTTTCAATGCCCACAGCACACAGTTAACCCTTTGATCACCCCAAATGTTAACCCCTTCCTGCCCAGAGCCATTAGTTCAGTGTCAGTGCTTCTTATTAGCACTGATCACTGTATTGGTGTCACTGGGGATGTCAGTGACACCAAGTCAGTTCCCCCCCAGTGTCAGAATGCCCACTGCAGTCCCGCTATAAGTTGCTGATCACCGCCATTACTATAAAAAAAAAATCCAGTATACTAACTGCCATTTGTAGACGCTAAACCTTTCACCAATTAATTTACACGTATTGGGATTTTTTTTTTAGCAGACATGGAGCAAAATATATTT